AAGTGAACTCTATTAGCTTTACACCCTGCCTCGATAAGGTAAATTACAGTTTTCTGCCTATGCACTATGATAAACGCAAAAATTTAGACTGTGGTGGACAGTGAGTAGACAATTCATCCAAAGAAATTTAGAAATTCGCGATTTCATTTTTTTTTGTAATTTTTATCACGTCAAAGTCATGTTGATCACTAGTATCCAAAGTTACAAAATTTAGTCGAAAGTAAAAAAACTATACTGACGTTAAATGCTGACAGAACTATGCTACATGATTTACAATACATTAAGTACAATAAATGATTATCACAATTTATGTCCAAGGTAGGCCTCGTTTGCTTCCTAAGCATAAAGGTACCAGTCTGAAAACTCAACCACAACAATTACAATTTCAACCTTTAACTGGCTCTTCTATGGCCAGCTGCTTAAAATCAACTGTAACCATCCTTTTTTATTGAACACCCCTACTTACAGATTCTCGTACTAACTTAAAAATCGTTTTTTTCTTTTCAAAACTAAAGTCACAAGTACATTCATACAAATGAGAAAAAAAAATCATTCCTGCATAAGGTGCAAGATTCGGACATGGGATTAATGTAAAATCGCTGTTTTCCTTAGATTTCAATTCTTCACGTCCTTCCTAACCCATGCTTCTGGTCCATGGACATCCTTTATCAGCATTATTTCGTCGACAACTTTTCCTCCCTGATCAAAGTAAATACAAAAAGTAATGCCAAAGCTAGTTCGACGTTTGAGATTTAAAAACTTTCATCCCCATCTCTACAGCAGAATTTACTGTGATAATCCCAGGACAAACATGTCGATAAATGCCTCGTAGAAAACGGAGAAAGGGAAAAACCTCTTTCCTACTTCAGCTGGTAAAGCATTGAACCTCAAAAAGGAACTGTTTCGATTCCATGCCAGAGAGCACGAAACTTCTTTGCCCCACGCTCGTGACTAGTGATACACTTATTTCTTTATAATAGGCCATTTTACAGTTGTGTACTTAGTTGCCAAGCCTTTGATTCAGAGTGAGGCTAAAGATGACCTTGTTGTGATAGAGACCTGTATCTACTTTGCCTGATAACAAAGTGATTTACATTTGAAAGGCAGCAAGGTTTGTATCATAACAAGGTCACCCCTAGCCTCACTTCGGTACAAAGGCTTGGCAACCAAACACACAACTGTAAAAAGGACTATTGGTTCATGCGCTAGTGTGCGTTCATCGAGACTTGAAGGACGCGGGAAGTTTGGAGAGCATGAAAAATGCCTAAAGAGTTGCTCGAGGCGCAGCCGAGAGCAACTCTGGCTTCTCTAGTGCTCTCAAAACTTCCCAAGTGCTTCAAGTCTTGATGAACGCACAGCTGACACATAAAACAATTGTTTCATAACATTTTCAACGCGGTGGTTTATGTTTACAGGGCATAAATTCCCTCTCGTGCGCTTCAATAGGTTGTTTATTTTGTTTCTGAAAAGTATTTCGTTATGCTTCAATGAGCTTGTCTCAGATTGGTCAAAAACTGACAGGTGAGATCATGCGTGGAAACGAAGAGTTGCGAAACGAGATAAAACCATTGATTGCTTTGTTTTTCCTTCCTCTGGCTCTTTCTAGGGAGTTAAAAAATCCATTCCCAAAGAAAAAGTAGGCAGATCTTCATCGGCTTGTTCGAAGTCACTCGCGAGAAAAAAAATTTCTTCGCGAGGCATTTGTCTGCTGAAGTCACTGGCGTGCACAAGGGGAAATTGAAGCACTCTCGCGAAATTGTATTTGATTGCACGAATTTACTAGCCACGTTATCATTGTACTCGTGTTTGGTGTGAACGCCATGGCTATAAAAGAAGCCCGAGTGAATGCTCCTCGAGCATCTTGTTCGTAAAATTAACTTCACAAGTCTAGTGACTCACAGAGAGAAATTTCCTGTATTGGATATCAGAGCCCTATTATAGTCAGAGATCACTGATGGATCGGAGGGAGAGGGGCTCTGAGAGGTCCTAAACCCACCCTTATTAAGACTTCTTGTGTAATACAAAAATTCTCGCAACAACACAATCACGCATCACTATCCAAAAAGAATCATTTAACTTTTACTTTTCTAGATATATGTCTCGGCCTATTATGGCGTCTGTGTAAAAGTCAAGGAGTGCAGGGAGAAAAAGTTCTAAAATCCTGCTGCATTCCACAATGCACTAATCATTACATATCTACTGTATGCAGGTGGCAAAAACATCACCAACCCAACAAGACATTGCACAAGTCATTTCACTCATCAGAACATGTCGAACTTACCTTCAGAGGGTAATTCATTGGTACCTGAATCGAATAATAAACAAAATAAAAACTGCTGTCAGTTTCAACTGTTTTTTTTTTCTCACAACTTGACTCATTCACCTCAAAGTAATACGAGGTCAATTTCAGGTTTCAAACAAGGTGAGAATCAAAGGCAATATTGCTGGCATTTATCACCAGTCTCGTCTCTCAGAAAAGTTTTAGGATCAAAATACATGTGTGAATAAACATCTTTTTGATGGTTTAAGACAATTTGATGTGTTGCAAATTGGCCCAGTCATTTCAAACTTGTAGATGTCTTTAGCCTCTGATTTTTTTCATATTCTGGCTGTGTTACATAAACGAAGCTTAATATGGAATACAAGTTTTCTCTTGGCTCATGGAATCTGTTGTTACATCGACAATGTAAACACAAGTTTTCCCCCAACACCTAACACTTTAAATCCTTAAAACAACTAGAATCTTTTTTTCTTCTTACAGTAATACTGTTGAATCATTCATTAAGATCACATGAATAAAGGTCATTCTAGCAACCTAAGAAGCTCTGATTGTTAAATGAATTATTCTCTTCAGTACCAAAGGAAATGAATAGAGAAAAGTATGGAGGACACAAACACAGATGTCAGGGTGAAAAGGCTTTAAAAGAAACTTGTGTGAAATTAAAATTAGTGTAACTCGATTGATTTCCTATATGTAAACTGTTATTTAATGACTCATCTTGATTTATGATCTATAGAAGAATATGCTGTGGGAACTTAGATTTAAATCATATCTAATCCTGTAAAGAGAGAAGATTGAGACAGATAGTCATACCTGCATGAAAGTGAGGCCAGTCTTGGAATATGACTGGATCACTCAAAATGTTGGCCACAACAGATGCCGCCATCACACATGCAATTTGTTCCCATTCCTCACTTGAAGTTTCATTTGCAAAGTCTTTGATGCCCTTGACTACTGCCCATTCTGTCTTAAAATCATGGGCAGCAGCAAATACACCTGGAAAAAGACACTACCGTTTGCTTACATGTATACTTTCTAAATGCATAATATCAGTATTGTTGTTTGGGTTGAAGTTCACAAAAATTACATTTATATTCCCCTACTCTGCAATGAATGGAATAAGAAAGATTGTACAAAGCCTGTTAAAAACCATTCCTTGGGCTTCAAAGACAACCAAGACTGTACAAAGACTGTACTACATTGTACCACTTTTTAGGTTAAAATATCCTTTTTAAAGAAGCTTAGTTTTTTTTAGATAAAAGACTTGATAATTTGTGAGTGAAGGCTGAAGTGTATTCAATTCACTTATAATAATGTATGTTTGCGACCCTTGAAAATATCTTTTGTTTTGTTATTTTTCAGTTACTTGAATGGCAAAATTTTCTTTCAGTGCTAAGCCGAGTCATGATCACTACACGTAATATTCACAAAACCTATCATACCGCCAAATTGCATGGTTTGTGGTATTTTATTTCTTAATGTATTGTGCAGCAGTGAAAATTACAAAGCAGTGTCCAATTTTCAAATTACTAACAACAGGAGCAAAAAGTCAAAACAGTTAACACTGCATGCAGTGCTGGAACATCCCTGGCTTTGATCAAATACAATGATTATAATTCTAACCTCCACCTTCCATTTCAACTGCAATTGCTTTAGGATATTGGCCAATCATGTCCTTGTTTGCCTCTGAGATACTCAGAACCACTCCATCACAGTGCACTTTGATATTATATTCATCAGCATTTTGTAAAGGTGCCTTCCACCCATCAGCCACATGTCTGATCAGGTTACCAATATCACTGCTGGGGGGAGTTTGGTGTGCAGCTGTTATTAGCTTTGCACAAACAACCACATCTCCTAACTTGACCTTTCTGCTGTTCAAACCACTGCATGCACCCACAGAAAAAGTAGCCTTGGGTCTCAGTAGCGAGATGGCATCTTTGGACACAGACAATGAACCCCTGGGAACATCAGGACCTTTGGAGCACCTCATTAAAGCAATTTTCACTTTTCTTCCTTGATCATCACCCATGCAGCCAAAGAACACATAGCCAATACTGTTGTGGTAACTCTTAAAGGGTTCCTTCAGAAAGGCAAAGCAGCTTCTGAACTCACAGTCCTCCACTGTTAATAACAGAATATCAACTGGCAGTTCAACATTCTTCCAAGGATAATAAATATGTGGAAGATCACTCATTGATGGAATTTTCTTACTAAGCTTTGGTGGGCTGGCATTATCACTCTGTGCTGATTCATTTTGGGCTAGCATCACTTCTGTCTCTGAAAATGAAGAACGTTCTTTTCATAATATCATATTTTATTCACAACAATGATTTATGAGCTTATCCATTTTATTGAAATAAGAAACAAATTAAGATGAAGAAAAGAAACCAAGTATGGAGACAGGTTAAGTCATATGGGTAGGATTCAAAAGCTTCATAGACATGAAACTATGATTTTTAAACAATAAAAGGTAGTCTATGACAGTGTGTGGCTACTGATGTATTTTTGTAGAATATTGCATTAGAAAATGCAAAGTTGCATAAAATGTAGAGGAGTTAATGAACAGCTCTTATCAATGTCAAAATTGTGATAGAAGGAGGACTTGGTTAGAGCAGAATATATGCACTGGTCAACTGACAAGCTGAAGACAAAGCCAAAATTAACGCAAGTGGAATACATACTATTTAATGTGCACTATGTAAGAGGATACTAAAAATGAAAACACTTTCCTCACATACTGTACGTATTGCATATGTGCTGCAATAGATAAATTGTTGCCTCACATTCTGATGACAAAGGGTTAAGTCCTAGCTAGATCATTTATCTTTTCTTTTTCCTTTTTTTGTTTAAATTCCTCATTAAAAGTAGATGTTCTTATTTTACTTTAACCTGGAACCTCTCCATTTATTAGGCAGTGATCTGCACTTAAGAAGCCAATTACCAAAGCACAGCATGTGTATTTCCTTTCACCACAGTCAGAACTGAACCAGCTCGCACGAGTCATGACAAGAGTTGGAAAGGGTGTTGACATGAGTGATGAGAGATGTTACAAGAATTGCACGATATATACCACTTACAAAACCATGAGGGATTTTGGTTTTGGTTTACAGACTTACACAGTGCTAAGACATAGTGAACACACCTTCCCTGAATGTTTTTATCAAACTCTGCTTAGTAAGTTTAAAACTCAGGATAAACAAAAAACTACACACACCTGTCTCCCATGAATTGTTGTCAGAAATGGTCTTTTTCAAAATTGTTTCTTCACTTGATTTGTCTGCAATGCAGTCTTCATCCTTGAACCACTTACTCAGAAGCTCTTGATAATATTCTTCAAGATCGGCATCCACACAATTAAGTTTGATATCATCAATGTAATACTGATAGTGGGTCCCTCCAAGGCGCAAAAAGATGTCTTTGATGTCATTCCAGTAAGAACTGAAAGTTGAATCATCAACCGAACCACTGGAAGCGTGACTGTAAACTCCGTCTCTTAAGACCTTGATTCGAGTGATGTCAGCTTCTGGAGAGGTGTCTGTTACAGGAGGAAACTTATCGCTGCTACTGGTAGGGAAAGTCAAACCAAAGATATTCCTCCACAGGAGAAGTAGTAGGGATATTTTTAATTCCCTTGAGGAAACTCGAGATTGGCAAGTAGGATACAGTTTGAACCACTGTGAGGGACTCAGGACTCTCTTCTTTCTCAGTGATAGTAATTTTTCTTTGTTTTGAGGATCAGCCAGAACTGTGTGAAGGTTTCCTGGAAGACATTTACTGTCAAAGATCTCCCTTAACACACGTGATCCAACATCAACAAGAAGGCGACACAGCTGGATGAAATTAGAAGCTTCTTTAGTAGAAAGATTTGATAGAGTAGCACAAGCCATGAAGACCTGTCTCCTATAAGGAAATGTTTATACATATTAGTTATTACAGGCAACTTAACTCCCAGAAGTAATTAACCTGTAACTTCTCCCTACAATATCCATATATTACCCTGCAAAATAGGTAACAAGAATACTCAAACTTATCAGGTAGTTGTTATCTTGATCAAACGACCAATTCTCATAACTAATCTGCAAGAAAATGTATAGCAGCAAGAGTTGAGAACTAACAGTCAGATCTGGGGAGTTACAGGGTTAATAAAAATTTTACGGTGACAAAGTTATTACGATTTTAAATCTAAAATTTAAAATATAATTCATCATTCAACCAGCCTGTCTGCACTGTTTGATGATGATGATACACTTTGCTGCATCCCTCAGCTAATGGTCATTAGAGGAATTCACACAAGGAGTGGGGGTGTGTCACCTCTGCAGTATGTTCAGACCCATGCATGAGCGCTTTAAGTTTCCTCTAAAAGTTTTTAATGGGTTCAACTTCAAAACCAACAAGTTTGTACTGAAGCTCTTTGGTTCTTTCAGGCCACTTTCTTTCTAAGAACTTCTTTAATTTTTTTATTAATCAAAAGCTTCAAAAGAACTTGAACAACCTTGTCCTAAAGATAGAAGTAATGAGGTCATCTCCATCACCCCTTGCAGTCCTGTCTAGTAGGAAAAGTTAATAAGTACTCACACGAGTTGAAATTGATGGTTTGCAATGTGTTATCAGACATATTTTTCTTTTGATGGCAACACGAGAAGATGTGTGAATCATGTGGTATTTTAATTGCAGCTGACTGAATTTTGGTCACATAATGATAGAAATGAGTGGGGGAGGGATAAGATAGAGAAGAGCGCGTGGACATCTCGCTTCATTTTTAAAGAACTTATTAGTTTTCAAAGAACCCACAGAAAGCTCATATTCGATCATAGATCTGCTTAGTTTCCCATGTTACGTTTTGCTGGAAATTGGTAAGAAAACCAAAAACCTTCGGGGAGTCGCGAGGAATATCTGGTCGTGATTTCCCGGTGTTGTTACTTAACTCCTTTGTTTGTGAAACATATTTACGCTTTACCAAAAATTAAAGCAGTATTTTTGCTCAATTCCAGAATATGGATTAATTCCTCTTCGAATCCAAGAATCAAAGAAATGTGACAGAAAAAGGAAGAGTGCGATGTTTTTATAACTGTTTTCACAACTTGTGGTGTAATCCAGCTGTTAAGATCTAACCACTACAATGCGACATAAATTTCTGTGGTTCTAAAGTGGATACATAATATTCAAATATCGATTTTTAGTTCTCTTTCACAGAATTTAACTTTTACCCGGGCCTTTGCCAATCACTTCTTGCGTAAAAACCTAGGAAACCTGATAAGTGGAAATTTGGCGGCTACTGTTGCTCGCTGATATTATCTGTCTGCAAAACGTAAAAGTCAGTAAAGTTGACTGATTCTGCCCGGGAAATTTTTATTGTCTGGAGCTTGGACATGTCAGGAGAGTTTCATTGATATTTGATATTTGACTAAACACTTAATATGCACCTATTGCTTTTTTCGTCAAAAATAAGTTCTTCGATTAGCCTTCTTTCACTGGAACCTGTGTTGGGTAAAATATTATTTTCAAACATTTACTGCGCACTGTTTGCTTTCTCCAAAATTTTTACATTGCGTAGGCAGGTGTTACACGTAGATGTCAGTGGGTGTCCATTTTTTCCCAAGAACAAGCTCCAGTGAAAGAAGACTAATTATAGAACCTTTTTCTGACGAAAAAAGCGATAGGTGCATATTGAGCTTTTACTCAAAAATCAAGGTGAAAGATAAAAATCGCTCAGTATTTTCGCATGTGTGCAATCACAGGGGGCCCATACAATCTGTTTGTGTAGCCGATTGTTATTTTATAGTGAATACACCAGATTTACTGTTTGCCTCACCTGTAGCAATATCTTGCGGACTATGTCAGTCTATAAATCAATGATAAATAAACGTTGAATTTCAAATCGCTCAAAAAAAATCATCTTTGGGGCAAAAGGACGACTATACACCACAGGTAGTCAGCAATATAATAATTGCTGAAGGTGAGATCAATGGTAAATATGGCACATTCACTATGAAATAACAATTGGCTACACAAACAGATTGTATGGGTTCCCTATGGTGCAATAAGGCGAAGTGGATCATATTTCAGAAGGAATATGCAAATTTTTCCGTGTGTGAAGACATATCAAGTTTCATGGAATCCCTCAACAGGAAGCAAGGCGAAAATGACCTAGAAATATTTCTGGACGATAGTTTTATTTCAAAACATTTCTTCGTCTGCTATTATAAGCAAAAAACACACGAATTTCTAACGTGAACAAACTCCATGTGGTAAAATTCATCATGCTTAGATTGTTGTTTACTTCGAACCTCACGGCCAGAAGATCGCATAGCGTTATGTCGTAAATTCTGAAAAAATTACAATTTGATACAAAATCTTCAATTGATCAATACTTTTTGAACACATTCTTACTCAAACATAATATTTACCGGGCCATGGAATCGTCAAATTGTTGCTAGGCCCTGCTTGAAGTCTGAAAGTTCAGTTTTTACTTTATGGCCACAATTCGCATCGCTTTAGAGAATTGTAGTGTCGTTGACTCGAGGGCTTATTCTGTCACCTTTAAGACCTTGATATCCCTTATTTTCATAACAAGAGTATTGTATAGTATTGCTACTTCATATTCTGAGTTCCACAAGGTCTAACTTGATTGTTAAGGAACGAAAAATTCGACTTGAAAATTTTGAATGTCGGCCGTGCGGATGCCACATTTTCAAATTTGATGATTTAGGGTGAACGCATGGAATAATGCCCCTCTGGTACCCCTTAAAGCCATCAAAATGAATGCACGGATGGCAAATTTTGATTGATTTGCTGATCTCCTAACAATAGAGGAAGTCTGGGGACAAAATTCTGCTTAATAGGGAAGGTAGGGGGAAGCTTTCTTGCACGAGCCAGTCCGGCAGTTTGGGCGATTACGAGCAGTTCCGGTATCAAGGTGATAACCAACCGTAGGTACTAAAAGTTGGAATCACCTGAAATCACCTGAAACCACCTGAAACCATCTGAAACCATCTGAAACCACCGATGAAACCACCTGAAACCCCCAAGGAAACCATCTGAAATTACCTGAAATATCTCGAAAGAATTTAAAACAACATGAAAGCACCTAAAAAATTACGGGTAACATCAGAAAATAAGTGTTAACAATTGAGTTTAGCCACAGGGAGCCCCGCCTACGGATATCGTATATAATACCCTACAGTACAGAATAGGCACCACAAACAGGTCTTCAAGAAAACATTCCATTGTTCTTGTTGAAAACACACTCTACAAATGGCTGGGAGTTGCACGGGAATGTGCGATTCAATTCTTGACAAAGCACTTGCTTGACAATAACCACATGCGATCGCGAATGCAAAAAAGAAACTGTTTTAAATCGAAAGAAATACGTGAAGTTTTTTCAATGGGATCATGCAAATTATATATGAAAAAGCCCAGGAAGGCCTGAAGATTTTCAAACTTACAAAGGAAATTTTGAACATTGTGTTTCTTTTTAATCAGAGACGAATTTATAGCGTGACCTAGAATTTCACTGACTTTGTTATTGCAAAAGTGAAATATATGTGGATTTTTTGCAAGGTATTTTACTGCAAATGACAGAATATAGCTGATGAATGGTGGCTTAAACTTCCACTGCCTAAGTAAATTTCAGGTGGTTTCATCGGTGGTTTGAGATGTTTTCAGATGGTTTCAGATGGTTTCAGGTGATTCCAACTTTTAGTACCAACGGATAACGAACGTGCCTGTCATTTGAAAGAATGTTTTTCTATCATAAACCACAAAAGGCAGAGGGGATATATATTGCATGTATCTCTACAACATTCCAAGAAAATCCAACCAGACTAGACAATATAAATTGATAATCGGTCATCAGACGCTACCGAAGGTAAAATCATTATATGTTGTGCGGCAACATACAAGTCTTCAACAAACACGCAGAAGGAACTGACAAAGCACTAAACCACAAGTTTTGAAAGATTTGGCTTTGTAATAACATACTTCATGGCTAGCAGCCCAAAAAATCCAGCCAAAATAATAAATAATAAGTTATCGACTTAAAAACTGCAGAATGTAGAGATATCAAGTGTAACTAGGGAAAAATACGAACATATCTCCATCAAACAGAAAGTGCTGACCGAAGCACAAAGCCATGAGTTCAATGAATCTATCTTTTAAAACAAATGTTTCATGGCTAGTGGCAGAACAAATCAAGCCAAATTCGTTAAAATAATAACGAATAAGTGAATCAACATGAAAACTATTGAATATAGCGATATCAAGAATGCATGTAACTATGCGAACAATTCGCAAAATACGAACGTCTCCTCAACAAACAGGAAGTTCTAAGCACTAAGCCACGAGGGTTGACACAATTCCCCCGCTAGTAATAACATGAAACAAGTTGAAAAGTATGTATATGGTACATGAATGTCTTTACCTTGGAGAGAATCGTCCGCTTGGAAACGTCGAGCTGGTCTTTCGAAGAAGAGCTCAACCACACCCGACTCGCTCCTCAGCCATGTTGGAGTCTTCTGTAACCTTTAGAATAGGGTTGTGCGTACAGAGCGTTTTCACTCACGTGACCAAATTTCTTTATCGTCATGGTAACCGACTTCATCCGCCATGTTGGTGTTCTATGATAATCAGCTGTGAGTATTGTGACAGGAAACATTTGGAGCACATTTTACGGTTTTGAGAAGACAATAGTGTAATATTTATATTTTCGTTATCACGGTCCTTTGCCTTGTCATTAGCTGTGGGAACAAAACAGGGAAGAAGTGGTCTAACGTCGGAAAAGTAATGTTTTTTCGTGTCCCACGTGTTCAGTATAGCCAAGGAGAGTACACCGAAGAACTTACTTCTGAGCGAAGAAGAATGTGGATCTGTGCGATAAGTAGAGATGACTTAACTGATGATATTTAAGAACGCGATAGGGTCTGCAGCCGGCACTTCGTTTCAGAAGAAGCTGCGAAAGATTGGGATCGATTCAACGTAGACTGGGTCCCTACCCTCCATCTTGAGCATTCAANCAGTAGTTTATCTGAACACAGTGGCTTCTGTTTGCATGTGCAGATAAAATCTAATTTGAGAGCTTCATCCAAAATATCTCTCGTCTGTTTGCATTTTGATTTTTCATTTTTGGCTGCTGGTGTTTTTAGACACAGGGGACAAAACCACTTGTTAGGTACTTTTGTAATTTTCAAACAAGATAAATGAAAAGTAGAGATGGGACATGCTTGGTTTGTACATGTTACCACGGGCCCTCTAGTTCCCAGTCTGCAAAAACAAGCAGAATTGGCATCAGGAGATGAATGAGACAAACTTCACTTTTGAGTATACCACCTTCCCAAAATTTCTGGTAGCACACAGTATCTCCAGAAGTGATTAAGTTTGGAAACAACACAGTGCCAGTAGCTGACATCAGGAAAAATTCTTTCACAGAAGAGATCAATTTGCTCACGAAAACCACAAACAACAAAGTCACAATAAAGCTTTTCAGCAGTGAATATTTACTGCTGGATTTGGTAAAAGTAGGCATGCTCCCTTTTCAGACTTGAATCTCCATTTCTGACTTCAAACAAGAGTTGTATTTGTTAATATACTGCTCCAAGTCTGTATCCTTTAAACAATAGGGGCATTTGACCTCCCCACATCCATTCCCACAGCAATCACACCTACACAAAAAGTCAGGTGTGGCATGTAACCATGGATATTGTTTATTGATAAACGTGCCACATTTCGTTACCTGAAAGTTGATGTGCTTTTCCTTCATGATCTTTTCATAAGTTTCAATAGCAACACTTTCATGTTTACAGCCATGTTCTGTAGACTTCTATACGCCTTAAAATAGTCCTTACTGTAATAACTCGTGTCAAGCACCAAAAACAACAATAAATCCATCGATTCGACCAGAGGCAGGCACTCTGGATCGTATTTTTTGTCTGATAACAAGAGAGGATCGATTCCAACACAAGAAATCTTCTCTAAATAACGTTTTCTCACGTGGGGATCGAGTGTGTTCGCATAATCTGAGAGAGGATATCCCGCCATGTTGAAAAATGTGGAACACCAACATGGCGACTCAACTTTCCCGCGAAATTTGTGACGTCATGTGCAAACGCTCTATTAATCCTATTTGCATCATACATGGTAGGTGTGCGCACTCTGATTGTGTTGCATCATCGTCGTAAAACAAAAAGTGAGTTCTTTTCATCCTGCCGCGGTCGGGTGAACAACATTGGTGGCAGCAAGATAGTGTGAATTTACGTGGAATATAATGGAGATTCGCTCTCTGTTGCCTTTCCTTCGAAAGTTAAAAAGTTTTGACGGGCCTGTGCGACTTCTGTCATTCCTCTGTGACGGATTCGTTCACAGGAGGCTACCGACGTGATTCAGAAAGAATCGAAACCGAACGCAGTTTTGCCTAAGTATTTCGACACAAATGGCAACAATTACATTCACAGCCGATGGCGGGATGAATGATGTTCAAAGTCAGAAATTACATTCTTTAAACGCGGATTATTTGATAGCGAGTTGACTCTTGACATGCAAACGCATTAAAAAGAGACAGAGACCTTCTTGATGAACTTTTTTCCACTAAGCGTGCTATTAAAACGGGATTCGTCACAGGAAAAGCCCCACACCTTCTATGATCGAATTCGTCTCGCTCCACGTTTAATAAAAATGTCTATAATTTCAAAATACGGTCCAAGAATAAATGATACCTAAATTAAGTTTTTGAGAAACGTACATGTGGAATTATTTCCTGCAGGAGAGAATGCATACTTAAAAACCAAAGAAAATAGCGATCGAACAATTTCATCCGGTTTAGCCAAACCTCCAGAGCCGACAGATGGGGAAATGACGTCTTAAAAGTAACCGTTATTATCACATCGCAAAGGAAAGTCGAGAGATATCCTAATAAGAGCGTAACTGGCTGTGGTGGCACTAGAGATCGCAATCGTAATTTAACAGTCCGGTTGGGGCCTATCCGAACTAGGGAAAAAACTTTATTTAGAAAAATTTTCTGTCACCAACACTTAACAAGTGCGGGTGGTTTGTCGCGACTTGACAAATTTTGGTCGAAACGGACAAATTTTCATACGCACCGCCGACAAAATTTGTCCTGGGTAAAACCTTGGCAAAATCATTATTTAAGATAAGGCTATTGTAAATCGCGATTTAGCAAGCTGTCATGTCAGAGCTGTCATCATAACACGTTATATATATTCCCTTGGCAGCGCGTTTTACGCCTGTTTATGGAAGGCGTCTGTACGAGGTGTGGTGTTCAATCTATCAACACAAGGCATCATGGGTTTCTGAATTGTGTGAAGGGCGTTTCAAATAACGGCGAATTTTACGGTTACCTTGGTTCGTATAGTTCACGATTTAACGCCGTTAGTTAACGGCATGAAATCCTACACTAAATATAATAACTATTATATATAACACAAACACTTAAAGAAATAACGCTGTTAGTTAACTGCGTAAAATCTTACAATTACTTTGTAAAAGAAATAACACCGTTGGTTAACGGCGTAAGATCGTACACGAATACTTAGTAAACGAAATAACGCCGTTGTTAACGGCATCAAATCTTGAAATAATTTAGTAAAAGAAATAATGCCATTAGTTAACGGCGTAAAATATACTAATATACTTTATGCTGATAAGAATCTTAAGGCGATCGAGCAAACGGTTAATGTAGAGTTGAATAACGTACATGACTGGTTAACTACAAATAGGTTGACATTGAATACAAAAAAATCAAATTTCTTAATTTTTCGTCCTCATCAGAAAAAAATGCATTTTTCTCCACAAATAGGTATTTTAGATTGTGAGACAAACCGAAGAGTTAGTTTAGAGCAAAAAAGTTATATCAAATATCTAGGCGTTTTAATTGATCAAAATTTGTCATGGAAAAACCATGTTGACTCTGTTATCGTAAAAATAAGTAAAACAATAGGGATGATTGCAAAGCTGAGGTACTTCGTTCCCTCTACTATCCTTGTAAATATTTACAATTCATTAATTCTACCTTATATAACTTATGGACTCCTTGCCTGGGGCAATGCGTCAAATGCTTATTTAAACAAGATTTTAGTTCTTCAAAAGCGAGTTTTGCGCTTAATCTATTTCACCGATCGAAGAGAGCATGCCATCCCTTTATTTGCCAAAGCAAAAATTCTGCCTGTTACGTTCCTATATTATGAAGCCGTAAGTAAACTTATGTTTGACGTGCACAACCAGAGGGCTCCCATTAATATTTTGAAACTATTTACTAAAACATCTCATATTCATACCTACAATACTCGATCATCCAAATCGCAGCTCTTTAGTACAAAGTACTCTAGACTTAACCTACAAAAAAAGGCTTTCTCGCGTGTTGGTGTCAAAATTTGGAATAAGATACCGAAAGAATTCAAAACGTTATCAAAACATTCCTTTAATAAACAAATTAAAACGTCTTTATTTCAGATACTAGATAATGAAGATTCTTATCTTGATGTTGAAAAGATCTCCTCTAAACTTAAGGACTGCATAATTAAAACAAATTGATCCGATTGCTTTCAGTACTAATGTATTTGCTTCTATACTTTATTGAACAACTATTGATGTATTTGCCAGCTATGCTTCTTTTTATAATTTAACAATATCTAACTATTTAGTTTTTAATTTTCTTTATATATTGTAAATAATGTTTGTTGATGATTGACCCGCCTCGAATAGCAAATTTGCTGTCTGCGGGTCAACATAATCTAAATCATTTTGTAAGAAAAAGAAAAATAAAGTGTGTGTGTGTGTAAAACCGTACAATAAATATAATACGGAGCTGTCTATTTTAGGTGTCATGTTCCAGGAAAATTAACATAACATCATAACATCACCTTTATTTCACCTCGGATTTACAAGAGTAGCTGTATAGCTAATTTCTCCGAGAAAGAGAAAAAGAAAAAATTAAGTAAATAAATAAATAAGTAAATAAAATATATAAAAACAAATAGAATCGTATATTATATGCAGTACATTACGCCACTATTTATATAAGTAACAATTGCATTTATGTTCAAAGGAAATTTAATGTTGGAAAAAAATTGGACATATTTTAGTTCTAAACTCATTCAACGACATCAGTGACCTCAGGTCCTCTGTTAGTTTGTTCCACATGTTTGCAGAATTGTATCTGAAGGAGTGAAGACCATAAGTGGTTGCATTGACATATGGGATAACAAGTTTCTTTGATCCTCGTAGGTTGTAGTCAGTACTCCTCATTTGAAAAAGACCTCGTATGTACTTCGGGATTGTTTCGAACTGAATTGTCTTAAAAACTATTTTCATCATGTCTCGGCACCTAATACTTTACAGATCACTAGAATTAATTAATTGTAATTACAGTGAACATGTACGAGATAAGCTTATGAAGGCGAATAAGAGTCTATTTATGTTAAGATCTCTACGGAAGGAAGGTTTCGGCCAAAGCGAAGTTGACCGCCTATTTAGCACCTTAGTCCTACTGAATTTTACTGATGGTGTGTCTGTTTATGGTGCGGTAGATTCAGACCTCACGGTAATACAAAATTTCCTCGATAGCTGCTTTAAAAGAAAATATATGTCTAAGAGAATAGACATTCGAGACCTATTCCAAAAGGCAGATAGGAAGCTCTTCAAGGCAAGATCCGCTGATCCCGGTTGCCCGCTAAGTAAAATTATTCCTAAGAAAAAAAGAGACAAAATATAACCTCAGAAATAGAACTGTCCATCATCCTGGAATAAATTCGGAAAGGTTTAAGAATGTGTTTTTAAATAGGCTAGTTTTTAGATATATTAATTAGATTATTATTTGTCTAGTTATAGTTAATGATTCTTACATTATCTATTTTAATATTCAACGATTCTTAGATTATCTTTTAATATTGTAACTTGAGATATGTACTTTTATCTTGAGATAATAAAGATTATTATTATTACTATTATTATTATTATGCTTAAGAGGTACAAGAAAGAAGAGAAGAACATTTGAAACATTCGATACAGATTTTTTAATTGACAATGCTATGGCAAATATAGGCTAGACATTTTTAAAATTTGTTTTACAGTTTTTTAGAGTAAGAGTATCATTTCCCTTTTCATATCTTTTTTTTTTTAATGTAATTTACTTTTATAAGGATAATTTCGATGTATGTTTTCTGAAATTCTTTCAATACAAACTAGTAGTTGCTTTCGCGATTTTTATATGTAGGTCGTTTTTGTTATCAGAGTTAGTTTGGGTCTGATACGAGTCTGATCCTAGACAACCGAATTATTATGATTATTATTCTTGTTGTTATCATCATCATCATCATCATTATTATTATTATTATTATTATGAAAGAAATTACGCCGTTTGTTAACGGTATAAAATCTCTCAATAAACACCAGCTGAAAGAAATCACACCATTATCTAACGGCGAAATCTCTCAATAAACATAACACTGGTTGAAAGAAAAAACGCCGTTAGTTAACGGCGTAAAATCTCCCAATACATATAACACCGACTGAACGAAATTACGCCGTTAGTTGACGGCATAATATCTGTCTTATACTATTTTGCGAAACGTAATGAAAAAACGAGACGAGACGAAACGAGGCAAGATGTAACGAAACTAAAAGAATAATGCGGATATATTTTCTAATTAGGCAAAGATAACTTTCACAAGAATTTTTGGGGAGTAATTGTCAATTGATAAGAGGGATTTTTATTCATTTCGCAAAGTAGTAATATAAGAAGGGTTACTGCGAAATCGACTATTTTCACCCCGCGGTGACAACGTGACCACTTTCGTGTCACATCACTAACTTTAAAGTGTATATGACAATTTTTTTTGAAGTATTTTCCTTTCTTGATATATGTAATAAATGAAAACTGTTGCGATAATGCGAAAAAAAATAATTTGCATGATTTTTAGCCGCCGAAATACCGCCAATTTCCATATAAAAGTGTCCCGGGAAACTGGGAATGATAATTGTGCTTGTCACGTCACAATGTTTGATAACATTGCGGTCGCGCACAGGCGCCTCCTAATTTCTCTTGCTCGGGGCTTCGACTGTGTGATTGATTAAAGCTAATTTTCGACCCGCACTGTTTAATTTGGTGATGTCTAGCGATTCGGAAAGTAGTGAGACTTTGGATTCTTCAGAAAGTATGGATGGAAGTTTGTTTATACATACATACATAGTTGACCACTAGTTAGTTGACCACTCTCCATGAGGACTTTTCAGGGCCAATTCCCACTCCAGGGGAGGACATCCACAACACTGTAATCTCGTGCGTGGGAAAGTTACGTCTTCTACCCCTAACCCTGCAGGAGACGGGGCCTACGGTTGATTCGTCGTTATCCGAGAAGACTAGAATATCTATCCATTTCTTAATTATAGAAAGGTAGCAAATTCTCCTCACTTATTTTAAGACCATGAGTATCGGTCCGGCCGGTCTATCAAACACAGTGACGTCACAGACGTATATCATGTGACATCTTGCACGCGCGATCTCTGGGACAATTTCAACATGAAAATAGCGCGCATTTTGAACGAAAAAGAGGGGTTTCCAAATATTCTCAAGATCTAAAAACTTTACAGTCGTTTTCCTAACATCATCAACGACCAGAATCAGCGAAAAAAAAATTGTGTCATAGACATTTTAAACATTACAAATTAGTATATCCCCAAAGATTTTGGCCCTTCTCTTATTTCTTAAAGTATTAAAATAAATTTCGCAAAATGGTAATTTTAGGAGAGATACTATTTTGCGAAATGGACTATTTTCACCCTTCAATAGCAATGTCTCTCTTTTCGGGGCACAAAAATACGCTGAAACAGTACACTAAGTATATTCCCGAAGACGTTGGTCGCCCCCTCTTTCATTGTCCACATAAAATTAATTTTGCAAAGTAGTTACCATCTAAACATTTACTATTTTGCGAAATGGACTATTTTCACTCAGCGGGCGGTAACAATGTTGCCATTCTCGTGTCACACCATCATCATCATCATCATCATGTTAATTTGTTCAAGCAGGTTGAATTTATTGGCAACTGTATAAGCTGATGTAAACCTGCTGTTTTCCCACCCAACCCACCCCAGGGGAGGACATCCAGCACACAGTAATCTCGTGCGTGGGAAATTAACGTCTCTTACCCCTTACCCTTTAAGAGACGGGACCTCCGGCTTTACGTCCTATCCGAGAAGACGAAACAATGTGAGTGAAGTGTCTTGCTTAAGGACTCAACGTTAAGCCCCAGCCAGGACTTGAACCCGGGCCGTTTAACCCAGAGTCCAGCGCACTGACCACTCACGCCTCACACAATAGATTTTCGGTTGGTTTTCATTAAATTTACAATCAAATTCCAAAATATCTAAGCCATCTCCACCTGTATAAACGCCATCTCGATATATTTCGCGAAATAGTGGTTTTAGAATAGTTGCTGTTTAGCAAAATGGACCGTAAATGATCTCAATACCGCTTGGGAAAACTGACCCTGAATGGGTTTACAGGTCTCACCTTTCCTTGTTGGCCTGTACTTCTTCGCTGCCGCGCAACAATACGGTGTTGTCCTCTCCTCAGCTTCCAGTGATTCCATCTAATAAACTCTCAACGAGAGTTTTGGGCTAACAAATTCCTTTAGTCATAATCGACATTTATGAGCTAGCGTATTGTGAGACGCCGAAACCGAGATACATCGTAATAAAAAATCTAAAGTCCTGAACCAATTAATGTCCAATTCGTGACATTAAAAGTGCGTGAAAAGTAAGAGATCAAAGCTGGTTTCCACTAGCACGGAGCCGTGTTTAGTCGCAATCAGAAGCTCAGAGCGATACGACCTAGTGAAACAAAAAACGAAGGGTAAATCAGGTGCAAGCCCGGAGACAGGTTCTTGCAGATTGGAGGCGTTTGAGGGCCAAAGGCGCGAGTTGACTAGCGCCGGAGGCGCAATATTCTAGAAGGGTCGGGAGTGCTTCCCGGAGAGATTTTGAAAGACCGTATTTCGTGCGTTTTGAGGGTGTGCACTGTTTCAGTGCAAAACCAAACATGCACTGTGCAACCGAAGACAGTTTTCCAGTGGCGGCTTGACATGTCTACCGACTCTCCGTCCCGTGTGGAGAACGGTAATGTAAATAAATAGCTATCCAGCAGTTTCATAATCCTATTGCTACAGATATTTTGCTTTAGACTTTTTGATAAAAACCATATATTTGAAAAAGTTACGCCCTTCTGATCGGCTGAAAACAAGTGAAATTTTCATCCAACACGACTGCAAAGTTGTAACGCGAGTGCAGATTACAAATAGTGGGCCACGCGCTGTCACAATTTCGTCTATCTTGACTTTCTGTGATACCTTTTTTATATAAATTATTAACAAGAAATTACAAGATTTCTCGCGCAGTTTGGTGTAAATAGTTTTTAATCTTTTAAAAATGTACTCGTGGTCCTTCACAGCAAATTGAACTCGAAATCATGGTATTACCTTCACTAACTTTCTTTTGAATCGCCGGTATTTAGTAAGCAAAACAGAGATTTCCCAATCCCAATAGAATTAGGATCCTTCTGATCATCTTTCATGCCAGGGAATATTTCATCGCAGTGCTCAACTGCAGTACCGCTGACTTTACCGTAGTACTCAAGATTTTTACTCCTTAAATATCTCTGGTCATTCCTGATGAGGGTTTTTCTTCCATGTTGTATGTGAAGATTAGTAAAAATTTGGTCCATTTGCAAGTTGGAAATCGTGCGAGAGGCCAGCAGTTTGGGTTGGAACTCGGTCTGGTCTTTAATGGAAGTTTTTAAAGATGCTGTGTAAGCGCTTACGGCTTAAAGATAAAAAAGGAAAATTCTAGATAAATAATCTGAACCGAGGAAAAGTACTTTCAGTATTATAAATTCATACTCCATGCTGTTTCGCTGTTTAAAGAGAGGTCCTGACTCCACCCTCATCAGATATGTGCGGTTTCCTTCTAACGACTTGTGTGACACAACAGGATCGCATGTTTCTATCCAATATGAAGCATTTGACAGTTAATTTTCTCGACATGTTTTTCAGCTTAAGTGTGCAAAATTCAAGTCAAGTGTTTTCTAAATCAAAGTTTTGACTCTGTTTTGAAAACTCCTGCATCTGTCTAAGAGATTTTTTTCCAATTGTCAGTTCACTGTTTATCATTATTATTCACTAGTTCAATATTATTACCACAATTATCGTTGTCACAAGCAATCATGATTCTTCATTCAATGCCTGTTCACACCTTGTATGTACAGTAGGATGTGAAGGGAACTTCACCGGGAAATTTTACCCTAACAGGTTCTCAAATTTAAGGTTCTCATATGCGGGTTTTTACTGTATCTCAGAAAACTCCTCCATCTTTTTCTTTCTCCAGGGAAATAAATAGTGCTCAGTCCTCGCTGCATACTCGTTACCACCTAACTGGTTGATAAGTTATGAAAGGAAATCCACAACTACCCACTGAAGGTTGGTTCACAATAAACATCACCAAGGAAAGCAAGGTGAAAAATTACTAGTTTGTGCAAACCTTTCAAAGTGGCAAAATGTGATGAAATCAAGTCAGTTCAATGGAAAGGGCTGCTAAGCCTAATCTACAAATTAATTAAAGTCTGAGACAGTAGGAAGGAAACAATTCTAAAAGTCTGACGCATTCTATGATTCACTAATCATTATATAACTACTGTATGTAGTGAGCAATAAACATCACTAAGGCTACAAGTATTTCAATCATGAGAACATGTGGAACTTACCTTGAGCAGGTAGTTCATTGGCACCTAAATTATTCAAGAAACAAAAACAATGTTGTCAGTTTAATCCATTAACTCCCACAAGTGACCAAGACAGAATTTCTCCTAACAACATCAATACAACATCAAGCAGACAAGTGGTGAGAATTAAGAAATATATCAACAAAGGGATTGTTGGTTGATCCAATAAAAAATTTTCCTAAGTAACATTGTAAGAATTGTGTGGAGAACAGTGCTGACAATTACTAATGAAATCATAGGAGTGAAAAAGTGAAACTAATTTGTTCTTAAGACATTCACTTAAAATTATCTCAAACCAACGTGATGTCAATTTCAGGTTCGAAGAAAAAGGTAAAAAAACAAAAAACAAAACAATATGTAAGCTGGCATCCATCACTTTCCTTCCCATTCCAAAAAGTTGCAACATCAAAATACAGTTGTACACATATCACTCAATAAGTCTTCTTTATTACTCTAATCTTTAAAAAATGTCAAGAGTGACCAAGATCGAATTTCTCCTTACAACATCAATACGATATCAAGAATAAAGAAAAATATCAATTAGGGATTAAAAGTTGATCCAATACCAATTTATTTAAATTCATGGTAGACAGTAGAGAGAGAATGAGATCTTGGGAGTAAAAAGTGTTACAACAATTTGATGTGTTGCAAATTGGCCTATGAGTTTCTTTCAAATCACATCAAATCTCTTTAGCAGATGTCATTAGCCTCTGTCAGTTCACCATATTTTGGCTGTGGTATATAAACCAAGCTAACTACAGAATACAGGTTTTCTCCTCACTCACAGAATGAACTGTTATCCATTGTTACATCCCTCAATGTAACCAAAAGTTTCTCCCTAACACTTACAGTAACCATTTAAATCCTTAGAGTGACCAGCATCTAATTTCTCGTTACAGTAATACTGCTGAGTCATTGATAAAGATGACAGGAATAGAGGAAATTATTGCCAAACTAGGAAGCTTTGATTGTTGAATGAATTCTCCTTGTCAGTTCCCAAGTAAATGTATAGAGGAAAGTATAGAGAATATGTATATGGATTTCAGGGTGTAAAGGCTTAAAGAAACCATGTTCAACTTATAGGAATCAAAATGAGTGTAACTTGATTGATTTCTTATTTGTAAACTGTTACTGAATAACTCGTTTTGATTTGCAATCCATACAAGAATATCCTGTAGAAACTTAGATCTAAATAGGATACATCTCTGTAAAAAGAGAAGATTGAGACAGAAATACCTTCATTAAAGTGAGGCCAATCTTGTAATATGACTGGATCACTCAAATTGTTGGCCACAACAAATGCTGCCATCACACAAGCAATTTGTTTCCATTTCTCACTTGAAGACTGCCTTTTATTTACAAAGTCTTTGATGCCCTTGACTACCACCGATTCTGTCTTAAAATCATGGACTGCTGCAAACACTCCTGAAAACAACAAAAACACTCATGTCTCTTAACCATAATTTTTCTAAGCTTATTTTCTTTGTATTCTTATGATAATTGTTGAATTAAAGTTCACACAGATTCACATTCTAGCTCCTAGTGAACATCCACATCACAGAAAGAGGTTAGTTAGTCCCTACATGTGCACCAAGACTGTAAAATTAATTTTCAGTTAGCATTACTCAAAAGAAAAACTTTTATCAATTAGAGTTAACCCTTTTGTTCCCAAGATCCTGTCAGTAGTTCTCCTTACTGTCAATCTTACAATTGCTATAATGTTGGTTGGGAGAATTTGGTTTTGGATCCACTAATAATCTCCTGGTTGATATTTTTCTATTCTCATTACTTGTCTGCTTGATATCATATTGATATTGTAAGGAGAAATTCAGTCTTGGCCACTCATGGGAGTTACTGGATTGACAGCTGTGACTGTGATACTATTTCTCAAGCTAAAAACTATTTAACAAAGTACTAACTACATTTTCAAGAACACACATTCTTGACAATTCATGACATCCGGATGGAGCATAAATTCAATTTTAAATTAATTAACTTGTTGCCTTCACCTTTACAAAAGCATCTTCCTACCCTATAATTCCTGTAAAGTTGGTATGCTACATGATACATGTATGTTTCTTGGCCCAGCTGGGACAATTCTAGCACAGTTTTTCTGAAAACACTTGCTACATGTGCAAATATTGTATCCTTGACTCATCAGTCATCATAATGAACATGATTCTCACCTCCACCTTCCATTTCAACTGCAATTGCTTCAGGGTGTTGGCCGATCATGTCCTTGTTTGCCTCTGAGATACTCAGAAACACTCCATCACAGTGCACTTTGGCATTATATTCATCAGCATTTTGTAATGGTGCCTTCCAACCATCAGCCACATGTTTGATCAGGTTACCAATATCTCTGCTGGGGGGAGTTTTGTGTGCAGCTGTTATCAGCTTTGCTGAAACAACCACATCTCCTACGTTTCCCTCTGTGCTGTACAAACCACTGCAGGCACCAACAGAAATAATAGCCTTGGGTCTCAAGAGTAAGATGGCATCTTTTGACACAGACAAAGAGCCCCCAGGAACATCAGGACCTTTAGAGCACCTCATCAATGCAATTTTCATTTTCTTTCCTTGATCATCACCCATGCGGCCAAAGTACACGTAGCCAATACTGTTGTGGTAACTCTTTAAGGGTTCCTTCAGGAAGGCAAAGCAGCTTAGGAACTCACAGTCCTCCACTGTTAATAACAGAATATCAACAGGGAGCTCAACATTGATCCAAGCAGAAGAGGTTTCTGGAAGGTCCCTCATCAGTGGAAGAGTAACACTAAGCTCTGGTGGGCTGGCATTACTATTCAGTGCTGATCTATTCTCCCCTGGCATTATTATTGTCTCTGAAAAGGAACAATGTAGTTTTCACTTTTTTACAAGTTATTAGCCTGATCCAAATGAAGATCAGTCAGTTGATAAAATGGTACAATTTTACAAATGCAAGCTTTAAAAGAAAAAAAAAACTGACTGCTCCTTGTTTTTTCTCCAAGTATGCATGCCTGTGTCATTTGCTGAGTAACAGCATCTTTCACTCAGATTATTAGGCTTCAAATTTTTCATCTTCAGTAAAAAATTATGTATCAGCTATTAATTGTTTCCACAGAACAGCATTAATTCACATCATCAAGAAGAAAAACACAAAACTTTACCACAACATAGTTTGTAAATTCATGCAATCAAATTCAATTGCATTAGTGTGCTTCAATTTCCCACTGTGCATGCTGGTGATGTCAGCAAACAAATGCCTTGTGAAAAAATTTTTTCTCACGAGTGACTTCAGCATTTTTCATTAAAAAATGGGAAAACCTTCTCCAAAAAGTTAAACTAGACATGGCAAAAAGTAAACAAGCTGATGAAGATCTGCCTACTTTTTCTTTGGGAATGGATTTTTAACCCCTGAGAAAAAACCCAGAGAAATGGAAAACAAAATAATCAATGCCAGTTTCATCTCATTTCCTAACTCTAAGTTCACTTCCATGCATGAATTCACCTGTCAGTTTTTGACCAATCTGAGACAAGATCATTGAAACATAGCAAAATACTTTTCCGAAATAAAATAAACAACACCTTGAGGCATAAGAGAGGGAATTTCTGCCCTTTATACATAAATTACAGCCTTGAAAATATTATAAAAATAATTTGTTCATGTGTCATCTGTGTGTTCATCAAGACTTGAAGCACTTGAGGAGTTTGGAGAGCACTTAAAGAGCTAGAGTTGCTCTCTGCTGTGCCCCGAGCAACTCTTTCACATCTTTCCTGCTCTCCAAACTTCCTATGTGCTTCAATTCTCCATGAACACATGCT